GTGGATCTGTTTCATTTTTTGGCTACACATACTTAAGATCCATTGAAATAATTTGTAATATAGTTCTGTGGCATTCAGTATATTCATATCATTGCACAATTATCACCACCAACCACCTCTAGCACTTTTTCATCTCCAACTGAAATTCTGTATCCAATAAACACTACCTTCCAATTTCTCCTTATATTTATACTTCAAATTTTCCCAAATTAAGCAGTAATTGTAGCCATATTCTCTATATTCTAAATCTGGTGGCTTCTACCAGTGTCCATGCTTGTTTCCCTTAGGGGAAAGTAGGATAGGTCTACTTAGGCCCACTCTGATCATTTTCCCAAGGGTATGTCAATTTACCAATGTACTACATTGTCATTTAACAGGCAACATATAGTACACTCCCTGTATCAAAGGAGTTTCTCAAATTTATGCATAAATAAGCAGTATTAGTTAATTGTGAATATTGCACACATGAACCCTTATTCCTGGGTTAGACCATGGGGAGATGTACTTGGACTACTCATTATAGAAGCCTGTGAATACTTAAACATTGTTTTGTACTAACCTGTCACCTATTTTCCATGTTTCATGAGTATTTTTACTGTTCAGTTATGTTTAAAAATTTCCTTAAATTCATTTTGAAATCATTTTGTGGTAGAAACTCAGAATATTTGTGTTTCTTTATTTTTAGTTAACAATCTTTTGTTAAAAAAAAAAAGCCTCCATCTGTTTAATATATGGTTGGAGTATAAACTGGCAGGCTTTTATTCCATTTTTGTTGTGTTAAATTTCTGGAAGCTACTTAGACCCTTTTTTTCTGTATTCATTATTCCCATTGATGGAGTCATCTTTCATGTGACCTTTTAATATCAATATCTGAATTCAAAGTTTAGAAAAAGGTACTAATTTTGACCATTTAATTTCAGATCAGTTGGATAAGAAAAAAAATTCATGCCCTCAAATTAACCCAATGTTTGATATCAGAGGTCAGCATATTTCAAATAAAACCTTATTTCAGGGGCTGGGATTGTGGCTCAGTGGTAAAATGCTCACCTAGCATGGGCAGGGCCTGGGTTCAATCCTCAGCACCATATAAAAATAAAGGTATTGTGTAGTGTCCATCTACACCTTTTAGGTGCAAAATATTTTTAAAAACCTTATTTCATATTACAAATACTATACTTTTAATTGCCATCACAGCAAAAGAATATGTATTTGTGCATAAAAGTTCTCAAGTTGTTGACAGGCCTGGTGGCACTGTAATTACAGATTACATCTGTAATCCCAGTGACATGGAGGCAGGATTTAAAATCTGTGGTCAGTCTCAGCAATTTAGCAAGACCCTGTCTCAAAAAGGACAAGGGATGTAGCTCAGTGGTAAAGTACTCCCACCCCTGGACAAAATAAAAATTTTTCTTGAGTCCATGGGGTATGTCTATTATTTACTTGGTAGGAGTTTTTTTTGTTTTTTGTCTTGTCATTTTGTTTTTGGTATCAGGGATTGAGCTCAGGGGGTACTCAACTACTGAGACATATCCTCAGCACTATTTTGTATTTTAATTTAGAGACAGGATCTCACTTAATCGCTTAGCACCTCGATAAATTCCTGAGCTGGCTTGAACTCCAGATCCTCCTGCTTCAGCCTCCCTAACGCTGGGATTACAGATACCTACTACCACACTAGCTGGTAGCAGCTTTTTTTTAACCCCAGAAGGGTATAACCTTGAATTAAGTTATTTTATTGGTTTTCTCCAAACCCCTTTCTAGACTAGTACTCCACAGGGTAACCAATATTGGTTATATTTTTTGTAGAAAAAAATTTAAAATCCAAATGACTCATATACAAAAAATTGTTTAACAGGTGCACTTTCTCCTGGAAAACAGATTGCAGCTTTCCCAGATTTAAGGACTCCATGATCCAAATAAAAATTAGGTAGGGCTCCGGTGCAGTGGCGCATGCCTGTAATTCCAGTGGCTCAGAAGGCTGAGATAGGAAGATCACAAGTTCAAAGCCAACCTCAGCAATGGCTAGGCGCTTAGTAACTCAGTGAGACCTTGTCTCTAAATAAAATACAAAATAGGGCTGGGGGTGTGGCTTAGTGGTTGAGTGCCCCGGAATTCAATCCCTGGTACAAACAAAACAACAACAACAAAAAAAACAACTAGGTAGGAACCACTGTTCAAAGCAGTTAAGTGAACTAAATGAAACAAGTTTTTCTCATCTTCCAGTGAGTTATTAATAAATTTCAATAGTAGCTGGTTGTGGTGGCGCATAATTCCAGGGACTAGGGAGGCTGAGGTAGGAGGATCATTCAAAGCCAAGCCTCAGCAACTTAGGGAGGCACTTACAACTCAGTGAGACCCTGTCTCTAAATAAAATCTTAAAAAGGGCTGGGGATGTGGCTCAGTGGTTAAGCACCCTTGAGTTCAATTTCCAGTACTCCCCGCTGCCCCCCAAAAATAAATTTCAATACTACAGGTTACAAATAGTGGAGGTCCAGAAATACCTTGTTTCTGTATTGAGTAGTCATAAACCTAATATAGTCTTTAAACTTAGCATCTCATCTATACATGTGTGTGTGTGTGTACACACAACTACTACTACTGACAGCATTTTTTCCCCCCTTTTTGGTACCAGAGATTGAACCCAGGGGCACTTTACACTGAACTATACTCCCAATCCTTTTTTATTTTTGTCAATGTTTTTCTTTTTTGTACTGGGCCTTGAATCCAGATGTGCTTAACCACTGAGCACCATACCCAGCCCTCTGTTTGAGACAGGGTCTTGTTAAGTTGCTTAGGGTCTTACTTAAATTGCTGAGGTTGGTCTTGAATTTGCAATGCTCCTGCCTCAGCTGCTAGGCTGACATAGAATTTGTGATTCTCTTGCCTCAGCCTCCCCAGTGGCTGGGATTACAGACACGTGCCACCTTGCCCAGTCAGTTTCTGCTTTCTAAAAAAAATCTGTCTTGGTGGGTGTAGTGGTATACATTTGCAATCCCAGCAGCTCGGGAGGCTGAGGCAGGAGGATCAAAAGTTCAGCCAGCCTCAGCAATTCAGCAAGGCCCCAAAGCAATTTATTGAGATCCTGTCTCAAACATGCTAGGGAGGGCTGGGATGTGGCTCAAGCGGTAGCGCGCTCGCCTGGCATGCGTGCGGCCCGGGTTCGATCCTCAGCACCACATACAAAGATGTTGTGTCCGCCAATAACTAAAAAAATAAAATAAAAAAAACATGCTAGGGACACAGTGGTTAAGTGCGCTTGGGTTCAATCCCTGGTAGAAACAAAACTTGGCTCTATATTCTTTTTTAGTCTTAGGTGGACACAATCTCTTTCATTTTATGTGGTGCTGAGGATAGAACCCAATGACTCATTCATGCTAGATGAGCACACTACCACTGAGCCACAACCCCAGACCTCTACATTCTTGAAAGCATCCATTCCTCTCCCTCCCCAGCAGCACCCAGCTCTTTTTGTCATTTTTTCTCTAACATTCCAGGTATGCTACTACCTTAAGACCATTAACTTTGCTCCTTCCCCACATATCCAGATCTCTCTGCTCACTTTTAGATCTTTTAAAAAAATATTTTGTTTTTGATGGACCTTTATTTGTGGTTCTGAGAATCGAACCCAGTGCATCATACATGCTAGGCAAGCACTTTACCATAGAACCACAACCCCAACCCTCACCTTTAGATCTTTGCTGAAATTTTATTTTCTTGGAGAAGACTTTTTATTTTTAAATATTTTTTAGATGTTGATGGACCTTTGTTTTATTCATTTATTTATATGCAGTGATGAAAATTGAACCCAATGCCTCACATGTCAGCAAGTGTTCTATCACTGAACCACAACCCCATCCCCTTGGAGAAGCCATTTAAAACTTTTTCTTTTTTTTAGTACCAGGGTGAACCCAGGGACTCTTAACTACTGAGCCACATCCCCAGTTCTTTTTATATTTTATTTAGAGATAGGGTCTCACTGAGTTGCTTTAGGGCCTTGCTAAGTTGCTAAGGCTGGCTTTGGACTCTTGATCCTCACACTTATCCTCCTGCCTCAGCCTTTTAAACCGCCAGATTACAGGTGCACCCTACCATGCCAGCCTAAATCTACACTTAAACTTGCATCCCTAACTCAGTAGAGGGGAGGATTCTAAATTCAAAGCCAACCTGGGGAGACCATCTCAAAATTTAAAAGATAAACGTGGAAGAAAAACAAAAGAGGCTGGTGATCTAGGTCAATAATAGAATTCCCCCTGTGAAAAATACTTGTATCCCATTCCTTTATTTTCCATAACATGTAATTTTAACATATACCAGTCTTTACTCTCTTCACGTGGCTGTTTTCACTGTTGCTAATATTCTGCATAAGTCTTTCAAGTATTTCTGTAGTCAACGGTTTCTTATTTTTGGGTACTGGGGACAGAATCCAGGGGCTCCTTACCACTGAGCCACATCCCCAGCCCTTTTTATTGAGACAGGGTCTGGCTAAGTTGCTATGGTTGGCTTTTAACTTGCGATCCTTCTGCCTCAGCCTCCTGAGTTGCTGGGATTACAGGAGTGCACCACCACGGCTGGGTCTTCTTTTTGGTAATAGGCATTCTACCAAACTCATGTTCTCTTTAAGGCAATGACTCGCCCAGTCTTTAACAACCTCATTTAACTAAAACCTATTAGGATATCCTTTACTGGCAAAACAAACTAACAAACAAACAAAAACCTTAACAGACATGAACTACCTATTTATCTTTCCTACAGCAAGATATTGACACTGAATACTCAGTATTTGCTACCTGGTTCACCAAAAGAAAAAATGAACAAACAAGGGTTTTAAAATATCAGAGAGTAGACAAGTGTTGCACATTTGAGTGTTCAGGAAATTAACTCAGAATGGGCAAAATTTTATGTATGGATACATATTAGGGGAACACAGAGAAAAGGAAGAACTGGTTCCATATCAATCCAGTTTTATTTTTCCACTGTATCAAAATAAAGAGACAATCCCATTTTCCAAGAAGTAACTTTTATTTGAAAGAAAACTACTTTTCTCCCACATGTATCTTCTAAGGACTCTATCCTATATAACAGCCTGCTTAACCAATGTCCTAATACCAAAATTTCTAACAGCAAACTATACAATTGCTCTAAATAATAAATAAAGGGTTGTCTTTCACTTATTAAGGATATACCTAACTCAATGAGTTTAACACACACACAAAAATAATCACACTTTAAGTTTGTAAAGTTTAACAGATGTATTTCAAATACAACATGTTTTGTAGGAATCCACAAGCTTGTAATCTCTAAAAAAGTGACTTAATTTTTAGGGTTCAAAAATTACATTCTTCAAAAGAAATGTCCAAGTGTTTTCTTCTATAGCTTCAAACTTTTTACACTCAACTATTTGTTCTATGCCACCTCAGACAAATGTGACATGACTGAACTACTTCATGTTACTATTTTCCCCCCAAAAAAAAGTTAAAAAAGGAGTCCTCATAAATGCAGATCTCTAATACAGTGTCTAATACAATATCTGACATGAAAGCTTTAAAAAGATCATTTCTTTCCTCATATAATTAGCTAGGAGTTAATCCTCTGTAAAGGCAAAGAAAAATGATACAAAAACTTAACAATGGGTTCCTTTTTTTTACTCAAGGTGTTTAACTACTCAAAATGACAACAATTACATCCTTAAGAGTATAATAAAAGGGGTGGAAAACAGCAATGCAACTGAAAAAGTGTAGAAGCTAAATAAATCAAGGATTTTTTTTTTTTTAAGGAGTAGGAAGAATCAGAAGCTTGGGAAACTCCAGAATAAAAAAGAGAGAGGGGAAGGAGAAAGGGGGGGAAAAAAAGTCCTCAACTGCAACCATTCCATTATCAATAGCGTCCTGAAAGAGAAAGAACAAAAACGTTAACAATTATAGTTCGACTTACCTAATGTTTTCCCAACTATTAACAGCTACCACATAAATCCTAATATTGTATAATAAGCCATTAATTAGAAATGAGGTTTTAATGCTACAAAAGCAAAGTTCACATACTTGGGCTGTAGGAGCGGGATCTTGATCGTGATCTGTATCGACTATAGTAAGGAGAAGGCGACCTTCTTCTGTAAGAAATAAAAGATCACTTAGTATACCACACACACACACTCTACCAAGGCAGATGATAATTTAAAAAAAAATTCCCCACCACTCAAAATAGTGAGCCCTAGCCATTTAACCAGGCCCTGTCTCAAAATAATATGATTTACACTTCTTTTTTTTGGGTGGGGTGGGGGTAGTACCAGGAATTGAACTCAGGGGCACCTGGCCACTGAGCCACATCCCCAGCCCTATTTTTTTGTATTGTTTTTACAGACAGGGTCTGTGTTTAGTACCTCACTTTTTGCTGAGGCTGGCTTTGAACTCACAATCCTCCTGTCTCAGCCTCCTGGGCCACTGAGTTTTTTGTGGCGTTGGGAACTGAACCTATGGGTTCTCTACCACAAAACTACATCCCCAGTCCTTTTTATTTTGAGATAAGTGACTTGCTAAGTTGCAGAGGCTGGCCTTAAACTTGTGATCCTCTTCCTGCTTCAGACTCTTGGGAGTAGGAGTGTGCCAACTATGCATGGCTTTTTTTTTTTAAACCCAGGGATTAAAAAAAAAAAAAATTCTTCTTGAACAGGGCCAGGAGAAAAGCCAGGGGTGCTTTACTACTGAATTACACTCCCTAGTTCTTTTTTACTTTGAGACAGAATCTCATCAAATTGCTGAGATTGTGGGTGTATGCCACTGCATCTAGCTTGGTTTTTCTTTTTAAAGACAAGGTCTTACTATGCTGCCCAGTCTCGCCTTGATTCCCTGATTTCAAGTGATCTTCCCATCTCAGCCTCCCAAGCAGCTGGAGCCAATGCTAAGTAAAGCTCAAACATTCACTTTTTATTCATACAGATCAAACACATAAGTGCCAAATAATAGAGATGCCATCTAACTTAGAACAAAAATTTCAAAGTTAAAACATTACCTGTACCGGTAATCATAGTCTTCATATCTGTCATATCCACGATCATATCCTCTATCATAGTAAGAATCTCGACGCCTGCCACCACCTCCACCTCCACCTCCACCTCCGCCACCGCCACCACCACCACTACTAAAGAAAAATATAAAACATTACACTTTAGTGTCAATGATCCTTTTTCTGGGACCATTTAATAAAAATCAGCAGCTTGGAAAAAAAAAAAATGAAAGGAGGACAGCTAAGAAGAACTACCCTTGAGGTCAAATGCTTATATTTCTCCCCCCCCCCCCCTTTGGTACTGGGGATTGAACTCAGAGGCATTTGACCACTAAGCCACACCCCCAGCCCTATTTTGTATTTTATTTAGCAACAGGGTCTCACTGAGTTGCTTAGTGCTTTGCTTTTGCTGAGGCTGGCTTTGAACTTGCAATCCTCCTGCCTTAGCCTCTTGAGCCAATGGGCTTACAGGTGTGCACACTGCACCTGGCCCATTTACTACTGAATTCAATCTATGCAATGCACCGTAACATAAACATCACGTATCTACAAAACATAAATTACGTATCATTTATGATTTTACCATATTTTCTTCCTAAATAAACAGTAATATCAATAAATAAACCTTATATAGAGAGGCTTCCCAGATCACATAGGAACAGAGAGACATATAATATTTTTCTAATACTTAAACATTTTCTTATTGGGGCTGGGGTTGTAGCTCAATGGTAAAGGGCTGGAACCTCAGCACCACATAAAAAATAAAGATAATTATGTCAATCTACAATACAAACACACACACACACACACAAAGTTCTTTTTGAACAAGACCAGGAGAAAAGCCAGAATTATATTTTCAATAGCTTATAAACATCATATTTTGCTTATTTGTATATTTATTAATATTTTAATAAGCTATAAATATTAAAAATATATTAAAAGAATTCTGAGAATGTATGTAAATTAAATGACAGGAAAAATATTTCCTCATATAGCACACATTTCTCATAGATTTCTGGCTCTTACAGTTTAGTTTATGAAAAACAATTTTTTTCCCTTGCTGCACTAGGGATTGAACCCAGGGTCTCATGCTAGGCAAATGCTCTACCACTAAGCCCCAGTCTCAGCTCTAGGCAATGTGAGATCTTACTGAGTTGGTCTGCCCATGTAGATGCCAGGTGTAGGTGTGTGCGCTCTCTTAGTGATAGAATAATCCACACGAATTCTTCTACCATCCAACTCCATTCCATTTGCCCTTTCCATAGCCTGTAAAGGAGAACAAGCACAGAAAGTCACTGGCCTTGAAGTAATAATTACTTAAAAATTAAGTGCAAAATTATCTGAAATCCAAATAAACTCATCTAATTTGAAAACAACACAGCAGTGCAGGGGATTCTGACATTTCTAGACCTCAAAACTGTCCAGAAAATATTTAAATTTACTCAAAAGAGAAGTTAATACACCTTCCCCTCAAATGTCTGTGTCTTGAGTTCCCACTCCATGTTCATCTTTTCAATCTAAACTTTCTGTAGCTTGCCCAGGTAGGCTGCATTTCATACTTCCTCAGTCCTCAGACATTTATTTATAAAGACTGACTTCAAAATACTAAGAATGTTGGCCAAGTTTTAACTACATTTTCTCTGTAACCTGATTTTACTCCCTTTTTTTTTTGAACTGGGGAATGAATTCAGGGGTGCTTAACCACTGAGCTACCTCCCTGGTCCATTTTGTTTTTCATTTTGATGGTCTCACTAAGTTCCTGAGGTTGGCTTGGCATGAACTTCTGATCCTCCTGCCTCAGCCTCAAAAGTCGCTGGGATTATAGGGTTTGTGCCACCACACCTGACTTCCTTTTTTCTTGTTCTTCAGTTTGCAGTCCAATATGCTGATAAAGAAGATTTAAAGGTATAGAAGCACACACATTTATGGTACTACCTTTTCAGTCTCTTGCTGAGAAGAAACCAATAAAGATACACGATTTTAATGTAATTCACAAATATTTTACTTTAAGATTCAAAGAGCTATTCTTCCTACTTATAAAAGCCAGCTTCAGCAAAAAGTAAGGTGCTAAGCAATGAAATAAAATACAAAATAGGGCTGGGGATGTGGCTCAGTGGCCGAGTGCCCCTGAGTTCAATCCCTGGCACTAAATAAACAAATAAAGTAATATCTCTTTTGGTTTCATCTTTCAAAAGAACAACTTTGAAAGTGTCCTTTTGGCTAAAAAACCCTCCACCTTAAGAAAACAATTATTTATATCTTAATAAATAAATAATTTTCTGAAACAACAAAACTGTAATAAATGTAACATTTTCTATTTTAAATTCCAAAAACTGAAATTTCCAAGCTCTTCTTTCAAATAAGGGTGAAGAGTTTACCAACAGCATTGGTTTTTGTAGTGCATACATATTTCAGCTAAGCCATTTCAGAAGGCCTGTGCAGAAGAAGTAGAGACAGCCACAGCCATACAGTAGAAACCACACAACCTAGGGGAAGTCTGTATAACTGAGGTTGGAAGTAATTGGTTTCAGTCTGGTCAACTCAAAATAGAAAATGCAGTTTAGCTAGCAATCTTTAATTAGCCAAGCCATGACTTAAAACACACTGCCACCTAGTGAACTTCAAATATAAAGAAAATCAACCTGCCAAAAAGTGCTCCTAAAGTCATTGGTATCTGAGCTCACATTCCCATCACTTTGCCCTAAGCACCAAGATAATAATTACAATGATATTTTAAACACTTAAGCAAATGAAAATATTTGAAATAAGTTTTTGGAACCTAAGTAACATCGCCATTCTAATTTTACCCAGAAATAAACCAAAGGGAGAAAAAAAAAAGCTAAGACAAAAAATTATCACAGGAAAAAATTTGTTTTTGTTTTGCACTTTGTATTTTAGGCCCCATATCTTAATATTTCTAAATTTATACCTCTATTGTTTGAGAGTAGGAAAACAAATCACAAATACGTAACAACAAAAAAGTCCGCACAATGACAAATTAAGATATTCGAGAACTAAAGTATTACCTTAGTTAAAATTATCAAAGGTTTCTCTACCCTGGCACTCTTAACATTTTGGGCCTCCTGATCCTATGTTATAGGGCGCAATTTCTGGCATTATAGATTTTTTTTTTGAGACAGGGTCTTGATATGTTACTTAGGCTGATCTTAAACTCCTGGTCTCAACTGATCCTATACTTCAGCTTCCTAAGTAGCCAGGATTACAGGCACTAGATGACAATATCATCTATTATTTTTGAAAGATATACCTGTTCTTATTACCGCTTTTATTACAAGGATCATTTCTTGTGGTCTCACCTCACTAAGTTGCTGAGGCTGGCCTGGAACTTGTGAACCTCCTACCTCAGCCTCTGAGACACTGGGATTACAGGTGTGCACCATCACGCCTAGCTCAGACATAAGTTTAAATGTCACTCAATTTAATCATCTGTTCAATGTGGTTTATTAAAAACAAAAAAAACACACACTTTACATTTTCCATTAACTTAAAATATACATCCCAGTTTACAAAGCCAGATTTCAATCAGGAGATTATATATATATACATATCTACACCAGAAAAAGCGGAAAAGTCAAACTTTGGCTATTCTAATTGTAACACTAAAAGGGTGAGTTTGAATTAGAGTATGAGAAGAAACAATGTTTACGGAAATGGGAATTAGTTAACTTTTAATAGTAAATCAATACTATACTCATGAATATAAAATTTTCTCAAAATGAAAATTTAAAAAATCAAGTTTACCTCCTTTGAGTCATCTATTCTCTCAAAATACACAAAAGCAAATCCCCGTGATCGTCCAGTCCGCTGGTCGTAAACCACATTGACACCACTCAATGGTCCATATCTAGAAAATACTTCACGAAGATCTCGCTCTGTTGTGTATAAACTGAGGCCAAAAACTCCAAGACAAGTGTTGGGATCTGGATTCGCCTATTGGATAAAGACGTTATTAAGCTTTAATTAAAATAAAAATATTTTGTTTCAAACATCCCACCTACCTCACATAGAATATATTGTTTCTAGTTATTTGGAAATAAAATTTTATGGAACTAAAGCAGATGAACCACATTTTACAGTTCACAGAGCATTTAGATTTTCTATGGAATATACTTTCTAGTCATAGCCTGAATAAAAACAATTCTACTTTTAGCCCAGTAATTTTCAGAACATATCCCAAGAATTTGTCCTGTATATCCCTGATGGATTAGTATTTAATCTGACTTGGAATTACTAATTTAGAAGTCTCCATTTCTTTCTTTCTTTTCTTTTTTTGGAATTGTAGATGGACAGAATGCCTTTATTTTATTTGTTTATTTTTATGTGGTACTGAAGATAGAACATAGTGCCTGATGCATGCTAGACAAGCGCTCTGCCACTGAGCTACAGCCCCAGTCCCCATTTTCTTTATGTAGCAAGGATATACTACTTTCAATGTTTCCATGAGCCACATTTTAAAATTAAAAGTACAAATTTCTAATCATTAAATACTGACATATTCTGTGTAGACTGACTGAAACCTGAGTTTGGTCAACTAGCAAACAAAACCAAAAACACCTCAATATCACACATCCAAGATTTACTCATTTCCTAACAAGAAAATAAAAGTGTTGGTTGTTACTACTGCATAACTTTTGATATTTTCTTGGTTTCTCCCTATTATGGTAAAACTCTGCATTAATTATCTCACCGTTTATGCTTTTCATTTTTAATTCTTAGAGCTCATTTATCCCCAAATTTTATCTTTTTAAAAATAACTAAAAAAACAGAATAAAATAGACATTATTATTGCTGTATGTATATACGTGACTGTATGACCAATGTGATTCTGCAACCTGTACACTCAGAAGAATGAGAAATTATACCCCATCTGATTCAAATGTATGTCAAGATCACTGTACTGTCATGTGTAACTAATTAAAACAAAATTTTAAAAAAATCAAGATACTATACCCCCATTATAGAAGCTATCATGAAATGTAGGCTTGTTATGATGGTGTCATTTCTTTTATTAGCATATCCATAACATAAAAGGTATTCCTTTTATTTCCAAAGTTAAATTTGTTAAGAATGTTTCTGGAGTACCAATTTCTAAAACAATTCCTATCTCTCATAAAAGGAAGACATTATGCCATGATTACACTCAAGAGAAAAATAAGTTTTCATTAACTTTTATACCTACATACCCTGCTGCCTGTATGTCTTCTCCGGTTAGACATTGGAGAGTGACTTCGGCTCCTTCGCCGTCGGTATTCTGGCGTATACGACCTACTTCGAGATCTTCTCCTATGAGAGTGAGAGTGGGATCTGGATCGAGTATAACGTCTATGAGAATGCCTTCTTGACCTTGACCTTTGAGAGAAACAAATGTAGGTAAAAATACTGGAACAAATGGCCAACACTTTTTTCCAAGGATGTGTACAAATATCCATGCCTGTTCTCAGCTCTTTTGTCTTTTTGAAAGGGGCATAGGGAATCAAACAAGTGTTCTACCACTGAGCTACACCCTTAGTCCCTCTACTCCTGTGTCCTCTCCAAGAAAAAGGTATTCTTGTTTTCTTAAATCACCGCAACCTCCTCCCTTCTTTTGGTCTATCCCTTCTAGATTCACCCCTTTCACCTTACCTTACAACCATGTTAAAACTCTACCTTCTTTCCAGCTGTGGTATCAGTCTACAAAATAGCTTCTATAACATATTTCATAAATGTTATAAATGCTAAGGGCCAGAAAATTAAAAATGGCATAAGGACAGGCTGGGTATGGTGGTACATGCTTGTAATCCCAGCTGTTTGGGAGGCTGAGGCAGAAAGATCACAAGTTTAAGGTCAACTGGAGCAACTTAGCAAGAACCTGTCTCAAAATAGAAATTTTGAAAAAAGTTAGGGATGTAACTCAGTGGTAAAGGTCTTGCCTAGCATGTACGAGGCCGTCAGTTCAATCCCCAACATAGCATAAGGAGGAAGGGAATAAATGAGGGAAGATTTTTACAGAACTACAAAAGCAAGTAATAAAGCTGGAAGACTTAATAGAATTTGCCTATGTAGATAACTGGGGGCTGAGGCTGAAGGACCCCAAGTTGAAGGCCAGCCTCAGCAACTTTAACAAGACCCTATCTCAAGTGCCCCTGGGTTCAGTGTCTTATACCACCACCACCAAAGACATGGAGATGTGTTTAGAGAATACCAAAAGAATACAATCTGCTAAGAAGCATAAAACTTCTGAGGAAACACCATAGCTGTGGACCTCAAGAAAAGTGCAGCTTTTTCTTTTTTTAAAGACATTAATAGACCTTTATTTTATTCATTTATTTATATGTGATGCTGAGAATCAAACCCAGTGCCTTACACATGCTAGGCAAGTGCTCTACCACTGGGCCACATGCACAACCCCACCTACCAAAGTGCAGCCTTTTAAATGATTCTTTTATATTATGCCCCTTTGCAAGCAGACTCTTTTAAAAGACAACTATGTCTTTACTCCAGAAATAAAAATGACTTAGCAAACAACTGTCCAGGCTTTTAAAAAATTCCAGCCTAATTGACCTGGGCCATGTGAAACCATGAACTTTGCAGTAGTCTGTTAAGAGTTTTTGTTGTCAGTGGTGGGTCTCTGATTATCTAGAGTTGTCCCCCCTCCAATTATAATGGACCAGCGTTTCAACCTGGACATAGGAGTCATACATAATCTTTAGATAAAATATGTATGTGGAATAAAACTCTCTTAAAAGAAGGATTGAACCCAGAAATGCTTTCCACTGAGTCGTTTTTATTTATTTGAGACAGGGCCTCACTAAATTGTTAAGGCTGGCTTCTAACTTGTGATCCTTCTGCCTCAACCTAAGGAGTTACTTGGATTATAGGTGTGTACCACTTCACACAACTTCAAAATTGTCATTTTTGCTGCACCAAATATTGTTGGCATACAACCATACACTGATTCTCAAGTTCATTTAAGTCAATCAATGTATTTGTTTTAATAGCTATTATCCAATAGATTAATTGTGCAGAGACTCTTAATTTATCTAGAAAATATTAATTTCTAAATTCTAGAGTCTGAGAAAAACTATTTTATGAGCCTTTGGTGAAATTTCTGTTCAAAATGCAGCCATAAGGAAGAATTTCATAAAATCCCTTTGCCATAAAACCAAACCAAACCAAACCCAACACACATAAAACATCTGAGGCTTTATTTTAAACACACTTACCTGGATTTTGATCTTGACCGAGAATGGGATTCAGAGTGTTTGGAAACCCTTGATGGACTACGAGATCCTGACCTGCTCTCCGATTTTACACGAGCAGGAGTTCCCGCTGGAGATTTTGACTGAGAGCGAGACTCCTAACAAAGAAGACAGTATTACAAATGGCACTGGTCCCGTAGATGCCTAACACCTAACATTTAATGTAGCGTAATTTTTTTTTATATTGATTGCTCCTGAAAAACAAATGGTTAGGCAACACCCTCCAGAAAAAAATTTCAGCTCATTAATAACCCATTGTTAATACTGCTAACTGTCCTCAATAATTCCCTACTTGAACCAGATCACCAATTCTCTATTAACTAAGTAATCATGCAAATTCATCTACAACTTGATCATACAGACACTGGAACATAAACCATACATTTACTTAACCTAGGACCCATTCATTCTTCCAGATTCTTTTAATTCTACTTCACTCTTGCTTTCTACTTCTCTTCATTCTTCATTGAGTTTTTCATTTTTCATACTTCGTGTATTCTTCCCCAATTCAAACAATTCAAAATAGCCTTAAAAAAATATTCAAGTGCTTCTATCTGACCAATCTTCTGTTCAATTTTTTCCCCCATTCAATTTTAATTTTCTGATCTTTAATACTTTTCATTAGCCTTCTTTTATCTTGATTTATCTTCCACATTCTTGGAAAAAACTCTTCAATTTCTTCACGAACATTAACCTTAATGGAAAAAGAACATTTAGTATATTTAAGCACGTGGGGATTATAAAACTCTGCTGGAGTTCAGAATGTTATCTACCAAATGGAAAAGCCAGCAGGTAAAGTGCAAATAACTAGTTTATTTAAAAAAAAAAAAAAAAGACAATTTTATAGTCTTTAAAATTGTTCAAAAGTGTAGTTTCTAACAAAGAGAATCTACTGAATTTCTCTAAATGTTTTTTTTAAACCATCTCTTTACCCTCCTCCCCTTTCATGTTTCATTCTAATACCTAAAATGTGAACAATTTTAATATAAATACTTAATTCAAACAAATCTAACATAAAGTGTAATTTCCCCCCACCTACGTGTTAAGTTTCCACTATTTTAAACCTGAAGATTCTTACTGACCTTAGAATACGCTTTTACTAAGTCATGCTAAGAAATCGAGATATTGTTAAAGTAAAGCATCCCAGGCTGAAATAGCTGTACACAACTATCTAAACTCATACATTATAGCATACATGCCAAAGGATCAAAGGAATCAAAATTTAAGTCAGCAAAATTACTAACACCTTCCAATTCTGTTTTACTCTTTGCTTATTTTGATTTAACCAGAAAGACTGGTTATGAAGACAGATAACATATGGCAAAAACTAAGGGGAAAGAGGAAGCACAAAAATTTTAATTATCCTCTTTGGTTTGAAACTCCTAAAATATATATTTTGCATTTTATAGCTGTGCCACTTTAAAATGCTATATTCTCCAGGAAATATAAAAATTCACCATAAGTTACAAAAATTGTATCATTTTTGATCCTACCTTTCCTTGGGAGGGGAGTAGGGATGGGGTAACTGGGGATTGAACTTGGGGCACTCAACCACCGAGTCATATCCCCAGTCCTGTTTTGTATTTTATTTAGAGACAAGTCTCAGTGAATTGCTTAGCACCTTGCTTTTTGCTGAGGCTGGCTTTGAACTCGAGATCCTCCTGAATCAGCCTCCCAAGCCAGGCTTGTGATGACAGGCTTGTGCCACTGTGCCTGGCTTGATTCTACCTTTTTTAAATTCAGCTTTTATGTATTATGTATTTATGTATACTTATAGATCCTTTGGTGACTATATTTCCTATATTGCAGAACTGGTTTCTGAAAAGTTGGGTGTAAATCAAAACTTTCCAAATACATTTATTTATAAATGATTAAAAGCTTATTTGACAAACATTAGGCACTTTATGACTAAAACATAATGGACAATTTGGCTCCCCTGCCCATTTATGCCTGATTATTAATGTATAAATAATTATTCCAATTTCACACCAATTTTCATTTATACCATATTGACTATGACACAACTTTTTAAAAAAAAGCTTTCTTAAAAACTTTTACCTCCAAGGACTTATTTATCCAGAACCGTAATAATGCTGGTAGGCCTATTTTTTTCCATATGAAAACAAAACTAATATTAACTACTTTTTGTTCAATACCAACCTTTCCCATTTAACTACCTACAGTAAGTCTCTCACCACATTTTAGATACTCTCTAAATTCCGGGACAGATGCTTGAAGCAGCATATTCAGTGCTTTAAAAAGAAACAAACAAAGAAAGATAGAAAAAGGCATGGCTAATTTGCTTGTAATTACAGTTTCACAGGCGGGTTCAGTAACTAAACTGATAAGAATATCTTCGGCTTTTCCTTCTATAAAACAGACCCTCTGACATAATATTCATTTATGCTACACTGAACAGCAGTGGCTGGGAATTGTATCTACAAACATCACCACAGCTTTTATAATACATAACATGTATAATTAGAAGGCTTTAAACTGAAAGGCACTTAAACTTTTAACTTTGCCATGACAGAAATAAAAATTCTTACATTAAAACCAAAGGTTTATTTGAAGTTTTTTTAGAACATGACAAAAACATAATGGTCCAAATATGTGCAATTATGACTTTCAAGTCTCCTCTCATAAACATAATTAACAGTTGCTGAAAATTATTTCTCAGAAATTAGTGTGAACAAGGTAACTCAGTGTTATCTTAAGTGCTCCAATGCAAGAACTACACCACCAGTCCTTTCTTAAAATTTGAGAAAGGATCTTGCTAAGTCTCCCAGGGTGGTCTTGAATTTGTGATCTGCCTCAATCTCCCCAGTAAACTGGGATTATTGGTGTGTGTCACCATGCCTGGCCTGACAGGATGTCTTTTAAAAAGACATCAACAAAATTTTATTATTTTAGTTGTTGATGGACTTTTATTTAATTTATTCATATATGGTGCTGAAAATCAAACCCAGGGCCTCACACATGCTAGGCAAGTGCTCTACCAGTGAGCTACAATTCCAGCCCGACATCAACAAATGTTAAAAGAAGCTTTGCTGTTTATCATTTAGGGTGTCACCAATACCTCACCTCCTTTGCTGTCTACCCTTTCAGCTCCACAAAATCTAACTTTGAATGAGCTTCTTCATGGATTCATCCAAGGTTAAGAAATAGTCACGCTCTTAGCTCTAACTCCTATATCCTTCAACTATTAGTAATCTTAACCTACAGAATTAACTGCTAGGTTCAAAATAACAATTCTTTAGACACTTTTAGTATACCAAAATATGGCTCATTAATTATTATTGGAAGATGGTCATATTAGTATTTATCATTTAAATACAACATTTTTCAAATACTATTACCAAATAAATGCTATTTTCATTAAACTCTGAATTAGTAATCAAGCTTTAGTTAAGTCCTTCATAGAAGACAAAAACTAGATAATCCTTTTCTATCTTTGACCTGTCTTCATAATGAAATAATTTCAATATTTATTCTTTTTTTTTTTTTTTTTTTGAGAAGATGATGTCTCACTATGTTGGCAAGGCTGGTCTCAAACTTGTGGGCTTAAAAAGACTCTTCCATCTTAGCCTCCCAAATTGCTGGGGCTTCAGGTGTGCGCCATTATGCCTTGCTAATTTTAACTTAAAAAAAAAATTATAAAATGATTTAGAAATTGGAAGCTAAATTTAAGAGCTGCAAATACAAAACAAAAAAACAAATAAATAAATGATGGGAAGGGGTAATATCTACCCTCTTTCGTTAGACTAACCTGTTCTTACAGCCGTCTCATCAAGGAATTCAATGAATTCCTCAGTAATCTGGCTTATCCAACAATCACTGAATCAATCAACATTTTTTCGTTTAATATCACAAATTTTAACAAGCATCTTAAATAGGATACCCAGTCTACCTTACATACTATAAACAACCCACGTGAAAAGGTTTTGTTTTGGTGTTTGTTATATGCACAAATTATCACCAGATAAGAATAATTCCTACTGCAAAAAAATAGTCCTTAATTCAGCCAGTATATTATAGATGGGGAAAAAAAATATTCCAACAAAATCTACATGCTTAGCACTTAATACTCATTAAAAATAAACTAAAAAAAAATATCATACTATAATTCATTCCAATATTAAGGCCAGGCAAATATTAGCCAGATAATAATGCCAAATTTACACAAATGCATGCCTATGGGTGTAAAACAAACTTTCTAACAATATTTTCCCTCTACTTTATAAAATTGGAGATTTCCATAGAAATACATTGATGAATTTAAATTATGTGTCCTCAGAAGACAGAATACACTTTAATTACCCAAATACCTTACAATATTATACTAACAACTTCATTCTTCAGGACTTGTAAGAAATCTTTTGTATTTTTCTCAATTTTATTTTTTTCAGCCCCCAGAAATAACAGTTCTAGGGTACGATAAGGTATTTCTTTTACAGATTGTCAGGCTGATAAAATACTTCTGGTTTCTTCTTAAACCTAGCCCTATTAGAGCAATCTCTTAAAAAGAAAACAGATTACTCATATTATCTAATTTCAAATAATAATTTCCCTCCCTTTAAGATCATACCTGTCTACTGCATTCTGAGGTTGATGCCTCAATCTGCAAAGGCTTACATATATTCTAAAATTGCATGTCTACACATTCTCAAAAGTTTGGAATAATTTGAGGAATATTTTATCATAAATAATTTAGTAATTGCCACTTATAAAACTCATGCCACAATTGTGAATTTTCCTGTAAAATTCTGTACAAATCTTAAATAAAGCTCATAAAATCTCCTAAATTTTCACAATAAACTGTAATTTTTAAAAGCTGATGTATAAGTGACAATTTCAAAGGTAGAGAAAAACTTTTATGGACTAAAGTGATTTCGCTACATTAAAAAAAGCCAATAAATAGCAACTAAACCCAAACTACTAAGAACCTGTTACAATATTCTCTACTTATGCTCTCATCTTCTGGTATCATGGAGTATTTATGAATCTTGAATAAGTGAGATGACTGGGCCCTGATTTCAAGCAAAAGCTAACTTTTCTTTCACATCAGTTCTAGTCACTCATATTTTGGGTGAATATCAACAAAATAAGGATTATACACAACTATATATATATTAGTAACTTAAAAGGAGGAAAGAGGAACTGCATTTCCTTTCATTATTCTTTTCTCAACTTTTCTACAGCATTTCTTTCTTCCTCATCTGACTATTACCATTGTCTTACTTCCACTTCTGCCCAGCTAAATCTTCTGTTAGAACATATGAACAAATAACAATCAATATTAATTCACTCAATATGGGAATATACATGTTTTACAAAGGCCTCAGGGCTAGTTATTGGGTTCCTGAGTACCCACTGATAATATCAATATCAAAGGTTTTCAGTCAGGCAGATTTTAGAAAAACCCTATGCTGATATTCAGCCGTTTCACACTTTAGGATACCACAGGTAAATAAGTATGGTTCATTTACGTCCACAAAGTTTGTCTTTTTTTTTTTTAAAGACTCATTCCTAGTCAATGTGATGAGATATAAGGGATTCTTCCCACTCCCACTCCAGTTGTAGACAGCTGCCTAGGTCGTCTTGTACCGTGGTCAAGTGCTATGTTGCTGGGAGAACAGGAGCCAATAGCTAGCTGGTATTCTGGAACTAATTCATGCAACTATGTTGTTAACTATACCAGAATGTCAGTGTAGTTGGGTTTTGAAAAGGTGGCTGTGGGGGGCTCTAGGAGTCTTTAAACCACAGCTTAAATGTCAATCTTATACCCAACTCCAAAGGACATTTCCACTTAAATATTAACTTAAATTACATGTCACAAGCAAATTCCTTTAGGAATCTTTTTGATTGCATATTTATTCAAATCTATTTTTTCACTATCTTAGCACAATCTCTCCATTAGCATACCTATATATCCATTAGCATACCTATATAATCAATAATAATTTCTCTAATCTTAAGACCTAATGGAACTTTTATATCTCAAAGTAAATCTTTCCCATTTCTTGACTCCTTTTCTGAATTCCTTATTAATTCTATCAGACACCACTTACTTTTACCCAGATTTGAATGGTCAGTCATCTCAAATTAGACTTCAAGTTCACTTTCCCTCAAGAACACCTAGCTAGCCCTAATTAGAAAGGCAGCAGATGCTCTAAACAAGTTTTACCTTGGATTACTTAAAATGGAATTCCTCCCTAAAGTTCTTTAACTGTATTCTTTAAAATGGAAGAAACATTAATTTAAAATGGAAAATTAAGCTGTAGTAACTGCTTTTGGCAAACTCCATTAATGGCTCTGAGACACTGAAGCATATTGTGTTCTTCACAAATGTTAACCAAAATATATACAGCATAATGTGTTTATATGAATAGTGGACTAGTACTTATCTCAGATTCCTGACTGCAGTCTTTTGGGTCTCTCTCTCTCTCTCTCTTTTTAAAGATGGACACAATATCTTTATTTATTTTACTTATTTATTTTTTATGTGGTGCTGAGGATCAAACCCAGTACCTTACAAGTGTGAGGCAAGCGCTCCACCACTGAGCTATGACCCCAGCCCCTGGGTCTCAGTTTTATATTTCTAAAATGCTGACACTACTCCAGTCCTTGCAAGATTATCATGAGCAGTAAAACACAGAAAATGCATTAAAGATTTTTGGGGTGGTAAATTCTAAAATGCTACAAAAAAAAGTAAGCTATACTAGTTTCGGTCCCACTTCCCCAGTATGCTTGCTAGAACGTAATATCTAGAAAGTTTCCATTTAATTCTAAACATCTTTTTACTGAGATGGAATTAATATGTATCCTATACAATGTTGATAAACTAAATGAAAATGCACTTTATTAGTGCTAAAAAACTCCTACAGTGAGGAAAACATTAATTCAAATTTGACTCATGATCTCCACAAACACCTCTGATAACCCTAAAATGTGAAACTGACCTTTCAATGTTTTTACTAATATGGTTTAAAAAATTTTTTTTAAAGGATGACAACTATTTACACACCTCACTTAAAAATTCTTCTTCTTTTTTTTTTTGATACCAGGATTGAACTCAGAGGCAGTTCACCATTGAGCCACACCCCTGGCCCTATTTTGCATTTTATTTAGAGACAGGGTCTTACTGAGTTGCTTAGCACCTCGCTTTTGCTGAAGCTGGCTTTGAACTTGAGAACCTCCTGCCTCAGCTTCCTGAGCTGCTGGGATTACAGGTGTGTGCCACCATGCCTGGCTCCTCACTTAAAAATTATTTTCTAGGCCAGGGTGCTGTTACCTTTAGACATCTTTAGCTGCAAACACAAGGACACAACAGTTTATTATATATAAAATTTAAACTGCTGGTTTATAGTCAGCCGAAAAAGGTCACTATAGTTAAAAAAAAAAAAAAAATCAAATTCACTTATGAATGCCAAACTGCTGTTGGGGAGGGGGAGTAATCCTCCAGAAAAACTTCTAGCATTCTTCTATTATTATGTGTAGTAGTAGTATTTGAGATATGGATTTGCTAAGTTGCTAAGGCTGGCCTGGATCTTGGGATCCTCCTGTCTTAGCCTCCCAAGTCACCGGGCATGTACCACCATCCAGCCCATTCTTCTAATTCTTCAACCAATTACATATAAATCACCTCAACCTAAAAAGCTCAAAAAACAAAATGCAAAAAGACGTAACAGGTGAACATGGAAATTATTCAATCTACTAATTTAATTTACATTAAACTACACTTGTGGAAAAAACATTTTTTTTTTTGGTACTAGGCATTGAACCCAGGGTACTTTTACCACTGAGCTACACACCCAGCTCTTTTCACTTGTTACTTTGAGACAGGGTCTTGCTAAATTTCTAAAGTTGGCTTTGAACTAGAAACTCCTCCTGCCTCAGCTTCCTAAGTTGCTGGGTTTACATGCATGTGTCACTGTGCCCTGAGGAGGGCAAAAATACTTTTTATAACCAAAAATAACCAAGAAGGGAGGGGGGAAAGCAAACCTACTCTTTCCATTAAATAAATGTTAATGTCAGCCCATGTTACTTTTATAGGTGGGTAACATGACAGTAGAACAGTCTCCTCCACTAGATGACATATTAAAAAGAACTAAAGAAATCAAGGTCCCATTAGTAGCCCACATCCCACAAACCAAATTAAAACAAGCACTTTTTTGTTAAAGTTAATTGAAAGGAAGATGGACAATAAAATTTTTTTCCATATCTGAACATTTTCAAACAAGAAACACAACTACTACCAATATTTTTATTGCATGATCTTAAGCATTTCTTATGAGACACTAAATCTATCACCCTAAAAAATGAGCAGGTTCAATTATATCCATGCTCCAAATTTCATTTAAAAAAAAAAAAAAATCTAATCTCAAATGTAGCTTTGTTTCTACCCTATTGCTTTAAATCTCTTAATCAGCTTTGATTTGACTGATTCCAGGTGTTTCTATACTAAACTTCCACAGAAAGGACAAATTCATTCTATCCAGCACAGCCCTCAAGTGTTTTTTTAATGGTTCCCCTAGTGACTAGAATAAATACCAACACAACAGCAGAAACGTGTTGCCTGGGCTTTTGTTTTCTTTTCAGATTTCAACTAACTCACTTCCACCAATTTCCCCTACTTCAATAACTTCCGAAATAAAACTCAAACACTGATATACCCGTTCTAGCACTTATCCTAAGTTAAGGATAATGCATTCTTTGTGATGTTTATATTCATCCGACCCCAAATAATTAAAACCTTCTTCTGTGCCCTCTCTTCCTGGGGGAGGGGTGAGAAGAGAAATGTGAAGTGGGCCTGTAATTTTCAGGTAATCTTTTGAGTAAGAGAACAGTATAAACTGACTAGTTATTTTTAAAATACTGAGCCAGAAATTCGTTATGTAAGATTAAAGAAAGAAGATTCCTTCTTAAATTTTTTTTTTACCATAAAAACCTGCAAAGGAGTGGTCAATTTTTAGATGAAAGGTCAAAGGAAGAAAAGCATTAGAAGCTGAGATATAAAGAGAAAAAAAAAAAATCCAACATCAAGGAATTAGAAAAAATAAGTCGTTATAGCATTTCCACATTAATTTTGAAGTGAAAGCAAAGTTAAAAAGGGACATTAAGGGAAAAGGGCTCCTTGCGTAGTTTTCCCCTCACAGCTCTCGTCTTAAGAACGCTTAAGGGTCGGTGCGGTCGTTGACTAACCACTTCATTAGGCTCGTCCCACCTTCAACCTCAAGGCTTTCGCCTTTATAGACGCAACGCCGCCGGTTCCAACAGAGACGCGGCCGCTCACTGCAATAGAGAGCCAAGGAGACACAGGCCCCAGCTAGTCCCACGCCAGCTACTCCCCGCCCGGACAACAGCCCCGCGCACTTTCGACCCCGAGACCCTCTACGATGCTCGGGAGTCTCCAGATATGCTACCGCAGGAAGCACCTACCACTATCCGGCCGGGGTGGGGAACTCCCTGCCGCCGCCTCCCACCCCACCGCGACGGGGACCCTCCTCAGAAAGAAATAAGCAAGCCTCGGGGCGGGGAGAAGGGAGGGTGCAATGTGGAGGTGGGGACAGGACAGGAGTCCAGGTACCAGTCAGTATCCAAAAAAGGGGGGAGGGAGGTAATTGTAGTGTTTGGGGAAGGAGTGGACCCAGAAGCCATCTTGGGATGTGAGAAATCACTCGCGATGGCTCCAGAGATTGCTCCCCGCGGGCCCCGCAGGACTCCCCGCAACCCGGCCCGACCGCGCTAGTCCCGGTAAAACCCCGAGCATCGGGCCGCCGCCGTAGACGGCTCCCGCGGCTTTGTACTCACTCTGCCCTCGAAGTTGTTCTCCTCTACATCACTCATGTCGGCCAGACGCTCCCCAGAACTAAATAAGAGACAAGTCTCGGCTTGAGGGCCAATGGCCTGATCAACCCGCTGACTGGACCGTAGGGAGGAGGAAAGAGTCGGCAACAACCGCCGCTCCACTCCACTCCCACTTGGTCGCAGGCTCCGGCAAAATGGCGCCCGCGCACCCAGAAACCTAGCCTCTCCAGTGCGCGACGTAAGGGGGCGGGCGTCTCCGTGACGTCACGAGCCCCGCCTCCCGCGAGGCTTTGTGTTTGCCCCGCCGGCAAAATGCATGGGGTGGTGTGTGTTCCTAGCCTGGGCGCTTTGGAACCGTCTCCCCAGCGCTGACCTCCAAACTCCAGCCTTGGCTCTAACGCCTCCACCCCTTTGAAGATTTTCAGTCATCAGCTTTTATTGACCTCAGTTCCTTTGAATGTTGTCCACGTGGATACTGATATAAGAGGATAGAAAAAAATGGAAAAAAATGTTATGTATATTAAATATGTACATATGATCTTGATTCAAATAAACCAACTTTGAGACAATGACCAAAATTTAAAGAACTGGGAATTCAATGATATTTAGGAATTGTTAATTTTATATATATGTAGATAATGTATCTAATTAATAGGTTTTATTTTTGGATGTTTTCAGCTACTACTTTTCTTCATCATTTGCCCTTTGTAATGCTGTCGAAGTAATATATGCACTAATGGGGTTATCAGTCACAGTTTCTTGTCTCATTCCTCCTGCCTCCAGTCCCTCCTAATCAATTTTATTTGTTATAATGCTTAGTTCCTGATTTACCTTATTTATTTATTTATTTACTTACTAACTTACTTATTTTTGCAGGCCTGGGATAAAACCCAGAGCCTTGCAATTGCTAGGCAAGCACTCTGACACTCAACTACACCACCAGCTTTCAAATAGTCTCTTGCAACTTAGATATTTCTTTCTTTCTTTTTCAAAATATTTTTAGTTGTAGAGGGACACGATACCTTTATTTTATTTATTTATTTTTATGTGGTGCTGAGTATCGAACCCAGTGCCTCACATGTGCTAGGCAAGTGCTCTACCACTGAGCTACAAACCTAGCCCCCTAGATATTTCTTTAAAGCTTCATAATCAAGACCTCCCAAACTATGCGCTTAGCTCCCAGTCATAATTTATGAAATGATTTTGAGCTTTACTTGTGTAATGCAATTTAAAAACATTATTTTCCTCTTTTAAAAACCCCCTTTTCCCTCCAAAATGCTTTGCAATAACAGGGCTGACATGGACCTTCAACTATAGTTCTATGTTAGGATAATGGAACATTATTGTGAAGATTTTTACCCCTGGATAGGATGTCAACATTTGACTGTGTCTGTTGTTGATACATATATATGACATCTACTTAAAAAGAAAGATGGTGAACTTTATTATAAGGGAATTAAGCTGATCCTTTTAAATCTCTGATCAATCTTAGCACCATTAAAAGTGAGATCATCATTTAGATGTGATGGTGCAACTGTAGTCCCAGCCAGTCAGGAGGCTGAGGTAGGAGGATGGCAAGTTCAAGGCTAACCTGGCTCAAAATAAAATTAAAAAGGCTGGGAATGCAGCTCTTAGAGGTCAGAGGTAGAACCTCTTGGGTTCAATTTCCTGTAGTGTGGGGTTGGGGGGAGGGGAGAGATAAGACAACCAGTTATGAAATATCTCATGATATGATGTATTTTCTACTACATCTACTACAGGGCCTCCTATGAAGGGTTGGTTGGTTTGTTTTTAATGGCAGATGGAACTCAGGGAGGCTCTAACACTGAGCTACATCCCCAGTATCCACCCACCCCCACTGTTTTTCTTGAGACAGTTTCTTCTCAAGTTGCCCAAGCTTGCCTCCACCTTGAGATTTTCCTGACTCAGTCTACAGAGTAACTGGGATTACAAGCGTTCCTATTAAGTATTCTTGATATCAAAGCTAAGAAAGTCTTAGATCTCGCCAACAGTTTATAGGAAATATAGGGACTTGAAAAATAAGTTAAAAGAAACAAACACCAGGGCTAGGGATGTTCCTCATTGGTACAGTGTTTGCCTAGCAATGCAAGAGGCCCTGTGTTCACTCCTAAGCACCTTGAAACAAATTTTTTTAAAAACCCCAGACACCAAAAAGAAGTAATCAGCTTCTACAAGACAGATAACCTAATTTGTCCAACAGAATAAAGCCAGAGGGGGAGTACCTTGGACTATTATGGACTGTTGTAAGATACATAATTGAATATGTACCATATGATCTTGATTCAAACAAACCAACTTTGAGACAATGACCAAAATTTAAAGAACTGGGAATTCAGTGATATTTAGGAATTGTTAATTTTATTAGGTATTAAAATGATTAATTCATTTAAAGAAAAACTTTTAACCATGAAATTACTTATCTGAGATTTGCTTCCCGAGGGGGGAAAAAGACCAGAAAATAAATAAACACCACAAATATGGGGAGGATAATTGTTAAAATTGGGTAGTGAGTTCAAGGGGTTCATTATTTTATTTTTGCATGTTTGAAAGTTTTTATAAGTTTTTTTTTTAAAGCATCAAGAAATTGTTTTTATTGTGTCATACTAAACTGGTACTGATTCAGAGAAAAATGGTAAAAAATTGTCACTGCTTTACAATAAATGTCTAACATTTAAGATACAGCACTTTGAAGTACAATAATTATTTGAACAAAGTTCTATTTTTTATTTTGAAATAATTTCAGAATTATTTTAAAAAGTTATAAATATAATATTTATTATAAATATAAATTATGTTATAAATTATAAATTATAAGTTATAAATTTAAAATATAAAATTATTTTAAAAAGTTATTCTGTAGATGGACAGAATGCTTTATTTTATTTGTTTACTTTTTTTAATATGGTGCTGAGGATCGAACCCAGTGCCTCACACATGCTACACAAGTGCTTTGCTGCTGAGCTACAGCCCCATCCCTTTGTCTTACATCATTTTAAAAATAAAAAAATTTTATCACAATATATTGATATAATTTTCCTGTTATTGTTAATCTCTTAATGTGCTTAATTTAAAAACATTATCATAGATATGTATGTATAGGAAAAAATATATATGTTTCATGTAGTGCTATTTCTGGTTTCATGCAGCCACTGGGGAGTTTTGGAATGTACTGCGTGAGAATAAAGGGGATTATCAATAAATGTATAGAAAGATGCTCAACATAATGACATGAGAATCAATACCACAATGAAATTGTACTTCGAATGTGCCAGGATGGCTATAATAATAATTTTTTTTAAAGCAGAAAATAACAAATGTTGATAGGGATGTGGAGAAATTGGAACTCTGGTTTACTGTTGGTGGGAATGTAAACTGGTACAGTTTGGCAGTTCCTTAAAAAATCAAAACCAAAATTATCATCTGACCTAGCAATTCTGCTCCTAGGTTTATAGTGAAGAAAATTGAGAACATATGTCGACACAAAAACTTTTACATGAATGTTTGTAGCAGCATTGTTTATAATAGCCAGAAAGTGGAAACAACTCAAATGTCCATCAGCTGATGAATGAACTAAAAATATTATTTATTTTAAAATACTTACTTTTTAGAAGTAGTTGGACACAATATCTTTATTTTATTTATTTATTTTTATGTGGTGCTGAGGATGGAACCCAGGGCCTCACACATGCTAGGCAAGTGCTCTACCAATGAGCCACACCCCCAGCCCATGGTATATTATTTAGTCATAGAAAAGAATGAAATTACTGGGCTCTGTGATACATGTCTGTAATTTTGGTTACTCGGGAGGCTGAGGCAGGGGTTCAAGGCTAGCCTGGGAAACTCAGTGAGACTCTATTTTAAAAAAAAAATGAGCTGGGGATGTAGTTCAGTTGTAGAGCATTCATGGGTTCAATCCCAGTAAAAAAGGAGGAGGAGGAGGAAGAGGAAGAGATATTGTTGCATGGTATACAATATGAATAAACTTTGAAAACTTGCTAAGTGAAAGAAGCCAGATGCAAAAAGCTGCATCCTATTATGTGAAATTTCAAATCCATAGATAAAGAAAATAGATAAGAATTTTCAGTGGATAAGTGTGGGGACAGGAGTGAGACTAACGGCCAGTATGCACAGGGATTTTTTTGGGGGTGATGGAAATGTTCTGAGATTATCTAGTAGTAAATGTGTACAACATGTAAAATATAAAGTAATGTGCTACATAACTACATTTTATTTCAGTAACAAAGCACATATATGACAGTGGTCCTATCAGTTTATAATGGAAGTGAAAAATTCCCGTGCCTGGTGACATTGTAGCAGTTGTAATATCATGTCCAATGCATTATTCACTGGTTTGTTGTGATGTTGGTAAATAAACCTTCTCTGCTGCCTGTCATATGAAAGTACAGCACATATAATTATGTACAGAACCAAATACTTGATAATAAAAAATTATGTTACTGGTTTATTTATTTACTATAATTTTAATCTTTTTTTTTTTTTTGTACCAGGGATTGAACACAGGAGCACTTGACCACTGACCCACATCCCCATACCTACTTTGTATTTTATTTAGAGACAGGGTCTCACTGAATTGCTTAGTGCCTCGCTTTTGCTGAGGCTAGCTTTGAACTTGAGATCCTCCTGCCTCAGTTTCCCAAGCTTCTGGGATTATATGCCTCCATGCCCAGCTTCCCAGCCCTTTTTGTTTTTTATTTTGAGAGAGGATCTCACTAAGTTGCTGAAGCTGGCCTAGAACTTGCAATCCTCTTGTCTCAACCTTCTAGGTTAGTGGGATTACAGGCCTGCATCACTGTGTATAGCTTGCTAAATTCCTTCTTGAATACTTCTTTCACCTTCTTGCTCTAGTCCATAGGTTCTCAACCAAAGGTGATTTTGTCCCTTTCCTTAGAGGATACTTGGCAATATCTAGAGGTCTTATTTTTTATTTTTCCTGTTCTGGGGATTGAAACTAAGGTACTCTAAGGTACTCTACAACTTAACTATATCCCCACCTTCCTTCCTTCCTTCCTTCCTTCTTTCTTTCTTTCTGTTGTTGTTGTTTTGTTTTTGAGACAGGGTTTTGCTAAATTGCTAGGCTGGCCTCAAACTTGCCATCCTCCTGCCTCAGCCTCCTGAGTCTCTGGGATTATAGGAGTGCACCACTGAGCCAGCCTTGGAGGTATTTTT